AAAAAAAAAAAAAGAAAGAAACCAGCTGTCCTGTCATTAACTGTGACTCATGGTGATTTCCATGTGTGTCAGGGTAGAACTGGCCTAGTGGTAAGAAGCTGTGCTGCAATCCCCAAAACACACAGTTTGAATCCACCAGCTGCTACGAAGGAGGATGGGCATTCTTCTTCCATGCAATTTACTTGCCTATGAAAACCTGCTGGAGTGTCAGCTATGGGTCAGTTTGGACTCGCTGGCACACGACCACAGCAAGCCCTTTCGGCTGAGGCATCTCTTGGGTGAATGTAAACCTGCAGCTCTTTGGTTAGGAGTCAAGCATGTTTTTCCCTCTCTCTCGTTTTTATTAATTTTAATTAAAGTGTACAGAGACTTAGGGTTTCCAGGCATTCATTGTTGCACTTTTCTCCCTGGTCCCCTCCCCGCCAGTTCACTCTTCTTGAAAAGTAAAAGAAAAACTCTTTCGTTGTTATGCAATCCCTCCCCGCCACGTCCACTCCACTGTGCAGCATCTGCACCTTTCCCCGATGACCCACTGCCACTGAGGTTATTCCAGCTCAGGGCGACCCCACGTGTCACAGAGTAGAACTGCTCTGTAGGGGTCTCCTGGCCGTAATCTTAACAGATGCTGGTGGCCAGGACTTTCTTCTCTGGCGCTCCTGGGAGGAGGTGAACTTCTAACCTTTTAGTAAGTTAGTAGTTGAGAGTAAACATTTTTTTCCAACTAGTAATCCTTTTTTACTCATTACAACACATGAATGAACTCAATTAATAATGACAAAGCATCCTACTGCATGGAGTAGGTACGGGGTATGAGGAATAGAAACAATGCCAACCAGATAATACATGTGTGGCTTTTCATCAGAGGAAAACTTTACTGAAAAAAGCATAGATTCAGAATGTGTGATCATAAAATAAATTTTTTAAAAAGCCCACCCCACCCGATACTCTTTTCTTTCCTTTTTATTGTGACTTGAATAAAAGTTTTCAAAGCAATTTGGTCCATTCAACCATTCATATGCATTTTATTTTTTAACATTCATTACAATGCCCACAGTGAATGTAATCACACTTTTCTCATTTCTTCTTATTTCTATGATTCTGTGAGTCTTATTTCCATCAATCCTTCAACCTTACCCCTTCCTGTCTTCTGGGCTGTATCCCTGGGTAAATGCTGCTCTGTGACCTTATATGGTTGGTAATTAGAAGACATGTCTCTCTCGTGTTGTGCTCACAGGTGTTTCGGTGCACCTGATAAGCCTGGCTGTTTGACTGAACTCTGAGCCCACAAGGGTGAGTTTTGTTCCAGGTTTGAGGGAGGGTTTAAGGCCACCGTTTCTGGGGTTCCAACAATCTATCAGACCAGTAAACCTGTCCTTTTCTGTACTTTTTAGTCTTGCTCCACACTTTCCCAAACCCTCCCAGAACCTTTGACAGAATGACCCTTTTAAACAGCCAGCAGTGATGGCTGGGCACCATCTAGTTCTTCAAGGGTCAGTCCGGGAGGTTGACAGTTGTGTGGTCCATTAGTCTTTCAGGCTAATAGTTTTCATACAAACATGCTTCTTCTTTTTTTTAAAAAAATTTTTTTATTTTATATTACTTTGCTTACAAAGTTTGTATACATTGTGTTTCACACTATTCTTCATTAACATTGTGTTTCATACAATCATTTCCATGTATGACGTTTTATAAAATTAATTATCACTGAACTATGCCCATCATTACCCTGTCTTTTCAGGTCTTTCCCATTTTCTTTACCCCCTCCCTCCAACTTCCAAATTGTGCAACCTGTGACTTTGCCCCTATCCATCCTCACCCCCTGCTCCAGTCCTTTCCTATCTTGGGTCCCCATATATGTTGTACATAGCAACTTTAACCACTATGGCAAAAAAATGGCAAGAGCTCAAATGTCCAACCATAACTGAATGGATTGAGAAACTGTGGTACATTCACACAATGGAATACTATGCAGCACTCAAGAGCAACGATTTTTAAAAACAGCACGTAACTTGGGAGAGACTGGATAGCACTATGCTGAGTGAACTAAGTCAGTCTCATAAGGACAAATACTGCCTAAGACCATTATTGTAAAAACAGAAGGATAACTTGTAAACCTATACTCATTTCTTAATAATTCAATGGATATATTTTAAAATTGACCCCACCCCCAGCCTATCTATCACTGGCAAGCCTGAAAATTGAGCACCATGATAAAAGGTTGAAAGAGTAGTTTTTCATCTCTCACTTAAAACTGTTTGGCTCAAACAGGAGAACTTAAGATTCCGCACAACTCAATTTCTATTAAATGTGTTATTAGAAACGTGACTCTCTGAGAATCTGCACGTTAACATTTGAACAGTCTGCACCAGTGAGAATCACGGGCATACATTTTCAATTAGAAAATGTCAGTGTGGAAAATATAACATGATGATATTCCAGGAGCTTGCGGTTGAGACTGACCTTCCTAATGAAACCTGATCTTCACCAGACATTAATTCTCTGCACAGCAT